GAGAGTGCATCTGCCTGGTTGTTTTCTGATCTCGGTACTTGGATCAGATGGAAATCCTCAAGGGAGCCGACTGCTTGTCGGACCGCCTGTAAATATTTGATCATGGCCGGATGTGTTGCTTCGTATTCGCCATTGTACTGACTCACTATCAGTTGTGAATCAGAACAGGCGTCTATTTTCCTTGCCCCGGCCGCCTTACACATGCGGATCCCGGCTAGTAAAGCTTCATATTCTGCCTCATTGTTTGAAGCCTGGAAACTGAAGCGTAGAGCATACTCGAACCTGTCGCCCTCTGGAGATTGACATACGACGCCTGCTCCACAACCGTTTGAAGTAGAGCTTCCGTCCACATATACCTTCCAGACTTGGTCTGGAACTTGAGAGTCAGGAGGACGAGTCATCTCTACAATAAAGTCAGCAAAGGCTTGCCCCTTCACTGCTTTTCTAGGCTCGAAAGTAACTTCGAGACTCTGCATTTCTATGGCCCATTTGATCATTCGTCCGGAGGACTCCATGGTGGTAAGGGGCCGCTTGATCGGTTGGTCGGTATACACGACGACTGCATGTGCCAGAAAGTAGGGCTTCAATTTTTTAACAGCCATGAAGAGTGCAAGACCAAATTTCTCCACTAGGGGATACCTCAACTCGGCATTTTTCAGTACGTGACTGACAAAGTAGACCGGAAGTTGACAGCCGTCCCTTTCAGCAAGGAGCACCGCGCTTAACGCATGATCAGAGACGGCCAGGTACATGTAGAGATTTTCTTTGGGCAAAGGGCTGACCAGCCTTGGCAAGGAATGCAAGTGAACCTTTAATTTCTGGAAGGCGGCCTCAGCATCCGGCCCCCATTCAAACCTTGCCTTTTTCTTAATTGCCTGGAAAAAGTATAGGCATTTGTCGCCTGATCGGCTTAGAAATCTTCCCAAGGCCGCCAGACAACCTGTTAACTTCTGAACCTCTCGGACGGTACGAGGCGACTGCATGTCAATGACCGCCTGTACCTTCTCAGGGTTCGCCTCTATTCCTCTCTGGTTGATAAGGAATCCGAGAAATTTCCCAGACTCAACTCCAAATACACATTTCTTGGGATTGAGCATGACATGGTGCCGCCTGAGTGTGGCGAAAGTTTCTCGGAGGTCCGTCAGATGATCTTTCTGAAGTTTAGTCTTAACAATCATATCATCAATGTATGCCTCGACGTTTCTCCCAATCTGATCAAAGAACACTGTGTTTATCATTCGTTGGAATGTAGCCGGGGCATTCTTAAGACCAAACGGCATGACCGTATAGCAGTATAATCCCTGATCAGTGACGAAGGCCGTCTTCTCCTGATCTTTCTTCCACAAAGGAATTTGATGAAAACCAGAATAGGCGTCCATAAAACTCATCAAGGCATGGCCGGCTGTTGAGTCGACCAGGTTATCAATTTTTGGCAGAGGGTAACTGTCTTTGGGGCACGCCTTGTTCAAGTCTGTGTAGTCTACACACATTCGCCAGGTGCCATTCGGCTTTTTAACAAGTACCACATTTGCAACCCAATCTGGGAAGTAACATTGCCGAATGAACCCTGCATCAAGTAATTTTTTGACTTCGGCGGCGGCCGCCTGACCTCTTTCTTCACCATGGTTCCGCTTCTTTTGCCGTACCGGCTTCTTTTTCGGATCCACAGCGAGTTTGTGTACTGCCAGATCAGGACTAATGCCTGGCATTTCATGGACTTCAAATGCAAAGATGTCCTTGTATTCTTTCAACAGGTTGTGAAAGTCATCACCAAGGTTTCCCAGAGCAGTCGTCCCAATTTTGACTGTTCGGTCAGGGCGGGAGTCGTCTAATATCAGGTCCGTATGCTCACCAGCCGGCTGAGGGCGGAACTCATCCGGCCGGTCCTCTGCCAATGATTGCTATTTTCTTGCCTTTCTGGCGGACTCTGTCTGGGACGCCTTTCTTTTTCTGTCGCCTGTTTCTTGAACAGGCGCACTTTCCTTGACATTGTCAAGGTCTGTTTTTTCTCCACTTGACCCAGTGGCCTTAGCAGTGGGTTTGACATCCGAGAGATAGCACTCTCGGGCCATCCTCTGATCTCCCCTTAGGGAGCCGACTGTTCCATTGTCCCTTTCAAACTTAAGCAGCATAAGTGACGGGATTATAACAGCCTTGGCACTATTCAGGGTTGGGCGACCCAGAATCATGTTGTAGGCAGAGAGTTCCTCTACAACTAGGAATCGGACTACCATGTGTCGTCCTTCCCCTTTTTCGCCCAGGCGGACGGGTAGATCAACTCGTCCCAGTGGGTGGACGACTCCTCCTCCAAACCCTATTAAAGGGTGGGAGGCCGGATGTATGCAGTCCGTCTGATATTTCAGTTTTGACAGACATTTGCTGCTGATGAGATCTGAAGAGCTCCCAGTATCTATGAGGATTCGACCAACTCTCTGGTTGGCCACTTTACATTCAATAACGAGAGGGTCGTCATGCGGCCCCCTTATTCCTCCTAGATCCTCTTCAGTGATGACAATCTCAGGAAATGTATATTTGGACGGTCGTTCTTGGTGAACGGAATTTACATCTAACCGCCTTATATTATCTTTGTTGCCCCTAATAGTGGGGCCGCCTCCTGAGAAGCCGCCTGCAATGGTGTAGACGACTGCATCATCTGTATCGGAACTGTCGGCCTGTTGATTCTTTTTGGCCGACTGCTTTTTTGAGGAAGTATTCCCCGTAGATTTCTTGACATAAGTGTCAAGATCACCTTGATCAGCCAAGCGGTCTAGGTACCGCATGAGACTAATGCAGTCGTTGGTGTGATGACCAATGTCATCATGATAAGCACAGATTTTGTCTTGGTTCCGGTTGCTCGCAGAACCCTTCATGGGGAGCGGTTTCTCAATTGAGAGCCGTCCCTTTATTTCTTTTAGGATAAACTGGTTATCCTTGTTAAACACATACTTTGGGGAGTATGGTTTGAATTCCTTTTTCTTCTTGGCCGGCTGTTTAGAGGAATCAGCCGCCCAGACCCCTTTTCTTTTTTCATCTTTGTTGGACGACTGTTTCTGTCGTCCTTCTCTATTGTCGAACCTCTTCCCGTCCGACTGTTTCATTGTACACAGATCAGTCGCCTGTATATAGGCTTCTGCTTCAATCAAGGCCTCTTGAAGAGTCGCCACCCTTTTTCGAACTAAATCAAATTTGAAGGTAGACCCGTCTTTGAGACCTCTAAAAAAGTCAGTATAAGCTACCTCATCCGGTAACCCTTGAATCTGTATTCTCATCAGGTTGAACCGCCTGATGTAGGAACGAAGCCCCTCCTTTTCACCCTGCTGAATTGTTCCCAAATCAAGGGTCGTTTTCTTCGCAGGGATGTTCATTGCAAAGTTGGAGGCAAATAAGTAAGCAAGCGTCCTGAAACTGTTTACACAACCAGTCGGCAGGTTGCCGAACCATTGCTGTGCAATTCCCTTGAGAGTTGCTGGGAAACACTTGCACCAAGTGGGATCATCCAACCCTTGAAGGTACATCAGGTTGGTGAATGCCATCAGATGGTCTTCCGGGTTAGTAGTGCCATCATAGGCGCCTACTAAAACATTTTTTACTTTGGCCGGCTGAGCGGCTTCAGTAATTTCCTTGGAGAAGGCCGACGGCTGTTCACCAAGTCTAAGCAGCCGTAGCTGCCAGTCCATAGGTTGGACGTTTTTTGCTACAGGTCCACCAAATGGAGGTGGCTGCATAAAATATTGTTGTTGCGGCACAAATGGCAAATTTGGTACCGCCTGCGCACTATGAAAGCCAGACTGTCGGGAGGTGCCGCCTGACTGACTCTCATGGTACGACTGAGTTGGCCTCATCGAGGCATTTCGCAAATTGTCCTGAAAATTTGAAGTAGAAGCCGACTCTGATAATCGGTCACTCCTCTTCTGCTCTAGCAGGTGCCGAGCATCTGTGAACGTTTGCTTTGACCCGTCCGCCTGAATATGACGAACCGGTTTCCTATTTCCCGTAGGATAACGGAGTTTTGTGAAATCAAGAGCAGACGGCTCCCGCTTCTTAGATTTAGGATGGGGAGTCGCCTCTCGCCCTTGAACTGGCTTCCTCTTCAGTGAAGTGGAAGGTTTTTTGGCCGCCTGCTCTTTGACTGAAGCAGGCGGTTTTTTGTTGATCAACTCTTGGATCTCTCCCTTGAATCCCCTCATGAAGGTCATGAGTTCGTTCCTTGTGATCGGAGCAGACCCATCAGTCGGCTGTTGCCGAGCAAGCGGTGCGCCTGCTGGCTCGCTTCCTGTTTGAAGATACTCCCGTTCCCTTATTTCAGTATGACGGGTACGGCGGGCCCTTAGGGTCCCGTCTGGAGCTGTATGAGTTTCAACTTCAAATTCACTTTCGGTATCATGGTCCGACTGAACTTGAGGGTCGTCTAGGGGACGCCTCTCTTCTGGGGTCGGTACAGACTTGGATGCCATCTCTGAAGTACTCTCCCCACAGACGGCGCCAAATGTTTCGGGGTTTTCTGATGTCCTGCGGGAGAGTTACAATTCCGAGACTGGAACCGGACGCCTGTACCTGCAAAATAACGGAGACTCCTGAGAGCTCCGCCTCCAACGGTCAAGTTAGTACCTGATTAAGGAGTAATTAATACAGAAATTAAAGTAATAAGGTCTCTCTAGGTGAGAGTATTTAATGTAGGTAATCTGCTTTACTAGCGAGATCAGCCGGTTATTAGTGTGTTCCGTAAATTATTCGGTCCCTGATTAATGAGGATTAATCGAGTATTTATAGCCTTGGGAAGCGTGCAACTCTCTAGGTTTAAGGTAAACCTAGGGCCGATCGGGCTTCTAGACTGAAATGGGCCTTGATGGCCGGTTGTCCCATTTGGCATGGGTGGACACGTGGCGTGTCTTAAGTGGTCCGTGGAGGACGCGTGGCGGAACCTGGTTGGTCCACTTGTCAAACGGCGCTTGGTGGATAAAAATCCCCTAATCAATAGGCATGTTGAATTGTTGAATCATCTTATAGATATAGTCTTTCTTCGTGCTAATCGTGCACCTTTCTATATTCTAAAAAGAAAAAAAAGAAAAGCACCACATATGCCTCTTACCTTTTCTAGTTTTCTCCCATGCTCTTGCTTTATGTGCCAATGTAAAGTATACTTTCATAGTTTCATGTTAATATATGTTCATTTGAATTAATATAATGGGTCCGTACCCCATCGAATCAATCCCTTCAAACACTTCCTTTGCATAATATTATTCAAATAATTTTCACACGAGCTACTTATAGATTGATTTAAACCAAGGAAGTATTCCTTAACAAAGAAAACGCGTACAGCTAATACAGGTGGTATATATCAGATAGTAACTAAGTGTTTGAAGAGTTCAAATCATGGAGTTCGATATGTCATTAAGTCCTAGAGTTATGTGTGTAGCGCCATCCAAAACCGGGGCGATAGCAGAACAAGCAACTGCACTTGTACAAGCTGGTGTGCCTGTCATCAGCTTGTCTACCGGAGAGCCTGATTTCAACACTCCTTCACTCATTGCTCAGGTCTAACTATTTCCTTTCACATCGCGTGCATTAGATTTATACCTGTTACATAACTTATTAAAGTTATATTGTACAGGCTGGTATTAGAGCAATAGAAGAAAATAACACAAGATATACACCAATTGCTGGTACAGTCGAGCTTCGTAAAGCAATCTGTCACAAGCTGAAAGGTATAATACAGTATATGAACATTGTTGTGTTATGTTAACGATTGATAAGTGTGCCTTAAGGTTTAGCTTTATTTTTAATTTCTTGTCGTAGAGGAAAATGGAATCTCTTACAATCTCGACGAAATTCTGGTAAGTTTTGGAGCCAAGCAATCCATCTTTCAAGCAGTGTTTGCGGTTTGTTCTCCAGGAGATGAGGTACAATAGTTAAAGTCCATGCTGCAGTTTTCAGGCTGCTTTCGATGTCTGAGATATTTTTTTTTTTTGTGTATCATGTTATCAAGCTGTTTATTGTATATTCAGGTGATAATTCCTGCTCCTTATTGGGTGAGTTACCCTGAAATAGCGAAGCTAGCTGGTGCAACTCCTCTTATTCTTCAAACAAATATGGTTCAAAACTTTCTGTTAGACCCGAAACAGCTTGAGACAATGCTCAGTGAGAAGTCGAGGTTGTTGATTCTGTGCTCGCCTTCCAACCCAACAGGATCCGTTTATCCTAGGGAGCTCCTACTTGAAATAGCTGAAATTGTAGCAAGGCACCCCCGCCTTCTGGTAATTCACCCTATTTAATTTCTATATATTTGTCATTTTAATGCAATTAATATCTGATGGCTTGAATTTCTCATTGATCATAATGTCAAATATATAATAATTACACCTCCTAACAATAGGATCAAAAGATATGCTAGAATCCTAGAAAGTTAACTAAAATACAATAGATAATATTTGCCAAAAGATATCCTCACAAAAATATATTATACGATATCTCATTAACCCCCCCCCCCAAGTTGGAGCGTAAGGATTGGAAACGCCCAACTTGGAAAGAAGATAATCAAACTGAGATTTGCCGAGAGCCTTGGTGAAGATATCCGCGAGCTGTGAGTTGGTTGGAACATGAGAGGGAGAGATCAAGCCTTCAGTAATTGCATCTCAAACACAGTGACAATCGACTTCAATGTGCTTCGTTCATTCATGAAAAATCGGGTTCTTTGCTATGTGCAGTGCTGACTCACTATCACAAAATAATTTAATTGCCTTCGGATGCTGAACACCTAGACTCAACAGTAGAGCTATTAACCATTTAAGTTCACAAGTAATAGCCGCCATGGACCTATATTCGGCTTCTGCCGATGATGTTGACGTTGTGTGCTGCTTTTTAGTTTTCCATGAAATAGGTGACTTCCCAAGAAACACTAGCCACCCAGACAAAGACCTCCGTGTAGAGGACAGGCGGCCCAATCTGAGTCACATCAACCTTGCAGATTTAAGTTGCAATAAGAGCTCAAAAGAATACCCTGTCCCAGAGTGCCCTTTAAATAGCACACTACTCTCAATGCCGCTTCCCAATGTTCACTACGGGGTTCTTGCATAAACTGAGATAGTATGTGAACTAAATAGGCTAAGTCAGGTTGTGTTACCGCAAGGTATATCAGACGACCAACCAGCCTTCTATACTGCTCTGGATCAGAAAGTGGCGCACCACTTGCTAGGCCGAGCTTGTGATTTTGTTCCATCGGAAACACTTGGCTTTGCACCCAATAAACCTGCTTCAGAGATGATATCCAAAGTATATTTTCTTTGACATAAAAATAAGCCTGCAGAGCTACAAGCAACCTCGATGCCCAAAAAATATTTCAAAGGACCAAGGTCCTTCATCTTGAAACAATCACTAAGATAGGCTTTGAAAATAGTTAGTGCAGCGGAATTATTCCCAGAAATAATGAGATCATCGACATATACTAAGACATTTATTTGAATGTTAGTCTTAGTGTATGTGAATAATGAATAATCAGAGTAGGATTGTAGGAAACCATACTGTTTCAAAGCCTTGACAAGCTTTATGAACCAACATCTGGGAGCTTGCTTCAAACCATATAGAGACTTGCGTAATCTGCAAACCAAGTTGGGATCCTTACTTTCAAACCCGAGAGGTAGCTTCATGTACACCTCCTCATCAAGGTCACCATGTAGAAATGCATTGTGAACATCCATTTGATGGAGTTCCCAATTTTTCGAAGCTTGTATGGCAAGAACAGTTTTGACTGTTGTCATTTTGGCCACCGAAGCAAACGTCTCATCATAATCAATGTCTGCTCTCGGGTATGATTACCAAACACAACCAAGCTAGACTTGAGACGCTCAACATTCCCATTAGACAAAAACTTGGTCTTGTAGACTCATTGGCTCCCAAGACCCCATAAATCACAATGAATTTTGTCAAAAATTCTAGTAGCTTTATTGTCACTAAGAGGAAATTTGTTTCTAGGATGTTGAGCACGAAAACAAACTTCACATCCTTTAACTTTTATTATTGCTAATATGAGGAAGCAACTTAACTACTTTTTCCGAAGGATGCCTCATTCGTCTATGCCAAAGATCCAAATCAGATGACACATCAATCACAGACACACGTTGCACCACATCCGGTTTGCTAAGATACTAGAGTCTGTCGCGCCTAAGTCCCGTTCCAATCAGCTCCTTCATTGGGTCCTGTATGGCACACATATGTGAGTTAAATTGTACAACAACTCTTAATTGGTCACTGAGTTGAGAAACAGAAATTAAATTGCAATTCAATTTTGGGACATAAAGAACGTTAGAGATAGTAATTTTATCGGACAAGTAAACCGAGCCGGCCAAAGTTGCGAGTACACTTGCACCATTGGGCAAGCCAACAAGACATTCAATGGCGTAAGTGTCAAAAAGCCAAGATTTATTTCCGGTTACATGGTGAGTAGCTCCGGTATCGATAATCCAACAAGTATCATCAAAGTTACCATTTAGCCGATTTTCGGGAACTCTTGTATTTTTACCCATAAGACCGGCCAAAGCCTCCCTACATGGGATTGATGGTCGGGTTTTTCTGGTGGCGGCGGTGGTGATGTATCATCGCCGGCCATGGATGTTTATTGAGGAGAAAAAAAAATTAACTTGCTCTTGATACCATGATAAATTAGATAGAAAATAGAATTAAATGGCTTGAATTTCTCATTGATCGTAATGTCAAATATATAATAGTTACACCTCCTAACAATAGAATCAAAAGATATCATCACAAAAATATATTATACGATATCTCATTAGATGTGTGCTGAGTTCTGATTGTTTTGTGGCGGTGGTGTTTAATTCAGGTACTATCTGATGAAATATATGAGCATATTATTTATGCACCAGCAAAGCATACTAGTTTTGCAGCACTACCGGACATGAAGAAAAGGACCTTGACAGTTAATGGATTTTCCAAGGTAGCTTAAATACAAATACAAAAATAATCATAGTTACCGGATTTATTGAATAAAATTCTGCATAATACAAACTTCTAACTAATGAAGTCCAATACTTCATCAGCTTAAGCTGCCCTAAGGAAAATATTGGAGGCTTAACATGTTTACTTCCGGAAATTATGTGAAGATTGTCTTGAATGTAATATCCATACTTCCATTGACACTCAATTTTAATATCTTAGGCCTTCGCCATGACTGGTTGGAGACTTGGATATCTTGCTGGTCCTAAGCACTTTGTCGCTGCTTGTGGAAAGATTCAGAGTCAGGTATATACATAGTCCAGTATTGAAAAAACTGTCTGACAAGATTATAACAGCAGTAAACATGAGCACTGAGGTAGTAATCCTGGTATCTGACAAACTTTCGGCTGCTGTTATAGTCCACTTCATCTGCTAGCAGCATATCGCAGGCAGCAGCAGTTGCTGCTTTAGGAATGGGTAAAGCTGGCGGCAAGGAAGTAGCAAACATGGTCAGTGCTTTCAAGGACAGGCGCGATTTCTTGGTTAATAAATTGAAGGATTTACAAGGTGTTAAGACATCAGATCCTCAGGTAATATCAAACATGATGTAATGTTAATCCTATGATCTCGCTCTTTAAAACAACTCTGACTCTTTTAACTTGTTGCTTTCTTGCAGGGAGCTTTCTACCTCTTCATTGATTTCAGCTCATATTATGGATCAGAAGGAAGGTATGGCACAATAGATGGTTCGGAATCCCTCTGTCGTTATTTACTCAAGAAAGCTCAAGTAATTACTCTTCACTTGCTTCTGTTTGATCATAAACAAGCTATAAATTTAATTTGAGATGGCACTTTATTTCTTAAATTAATGTCACTCTCTGATGTAATTCCTGTTTCAGGTGGCGTTAGTCCCGGGAGATGCATTCGGGGATGATAAGTGCATAAGGATTTCCTATGCAGCATCTCTGTCCACCCTTCAAGAGGCCATGCAGAGGATTGAGAAAGAGCTTGTTCAACTCAAGCCACCAGTTTAATACTAAGCAAATACTCTGTAACTTATGCTCAAATATGCTTATTTGTACTTTTCAGTTTTTGTTCCTTTCATACGAAAAACTATGTTAGGGTGCCTTGAATGATCTACAAGAAATAAAATATCACCAGCACAAATAGCATTTGTTGTACTTGTATATGTTGATTAATTAGAAGGTTTTGATAATCAGTATTCCATCTGTTCGGAATTAGTTGTCACATTGAACATGACATGATTTTACATACACTCTTTACAATAGGTGTGCAAAAAAAAAACTTTTTTCCTTATTACCTACTTCATAATTTATTATTTCATGAATAATAGGTCACATTTAACTCTAATGGTCAAAACATACTAACTTTTATAGTAAACCGTTTATTAAGGTAAATAACTTCATTCATTTCTACAGCGTCTTCTTTCACTAATCACAATGAATGGGCAAGCTTATTTTCCATCACCAATGAATCACCTTGGCACCCCTGAATTCCTATGCATAAACACGGGCCCACCAAAATTTATGAGAGTATATTTTCATACATTGTTGAGTGATTATATGGAAATTGCTCCTATTCAGCATTATACCAAATTTTCTAACAATTTGGTGCAAAGAAAAGTCTTGAAGAATGGTTCACAATATCTGCAGCCTGCAGACCGAAGAAGTTCAGAGGCCTTCAGGGCAGTTATATGCATTCTCCTTCTGAGAAAAAGGTAGTGTGTATAAGAAGATCCGAGATGAAGGGGACACAGATAGAAGGCTAAGGTTTCAGGTTTTGAAGAGTAAGAGAGAAACGCTGAGCTGTGATCGCTTCTGAGTGGTAGGAAGCGTTCTGAAGCATCAGAGGGGCGCATGTAGACTCTAAAATATGTACTCTCTTTTCCATTAGAAATGTTTCTTTCTCTATTTTATGCGTAATAAGGTCCTGGTGTTATATTTAAAAGAATAGATACAGCTAACTGCTCTGATCAAGTTCTGATGATATATATTATATGGAAAAACAAAGATACAATAGTAACGGCAATAGTCATATTAAAATGTGAAATTCTAACTTATGCGAAGCTTCTTTCCAGAAGACTGTACATCATCAAAAGGCGGACTATCGCCATTGTCACCCTTTTCCCCCTTCTCACCCTTTCTCCGAGCAATGATTTTGTTAATCTTGTGAAGATCATTGTTGAGCTTTTGCTCCTTGTTCTTCCGTGTTTTTCGTCCGTCTTGCATCTTGACACCAAATTGGAAAGCAGCCTTTGGCATTGCTTCCTTTTGTTCATTGTACTGGGCCCACTCTTCCTCCGTCTCAAAATCCCACCGATGAAGACGGCCTTTGGCCTATTGAGCATTTTTAAAAAAATAAAATAAAACAAGCACATTGTTAGTACTAATACACAATACTGAAGGAGCATGGCAGCAAAAATAACTATACAGATAAACAGTCATGCAGGCACAAAAGAACAGAGAGAAAATGGGAGAAATCACTTACACGTCCGCCCATATCCATTTTTGACAAGTCACCTTCATCATCACTGTCCACAACCTCATGGTTATATGATTGATAGCCAGGGTAGCATTCAGAATAACTTTCAGATATGAAGTTGGGATCCTTTTCCCGAGAATCCTTTTCCCTCAGTTGTTGAAGCCTTTGATCATCCCGCTTAAACACAGACCCTAATCCTCGATCCTTCTCCTCTTGACTCATGAGACGAGGATCTTGAAGGATGTTCGCATTTGCTTGCATATCATAGGCCTGCATCTGTTGGAGATATTGATCAGGATAGGCTAACTGATCAGCGTATTGGTAGTCCTGCCACTCCCCTTGATAGGCACCACCATCTAGAGCTTGAGCATGTACAGCAACATAGCCATTCTGAAAAGAACCATACAAGAACATAACAAGGATAAGAATTTGGCACATCTATTCACATGCTATCAGAAATCCTAACAGCGTTAATTAAATACATCTCAAGACCAAACAAATGATCATCCCCAACAAACTTACAGCTTGATTCCAATCTTGAGAAGGATCGACTGCAGGTGGCACTGGTCCATAAACAGGTTCATTGAAATAGGAAGCCCTTTCCTTGTTCCCAGGAGACTCTTCCATGTCTTCTGAAATGGGGCTTTGACTCATATCTTTGCTGGGCACTTCATAATCAACACCATCACCAATAAAGATATCATCGTCTTCAGCTCGAGCAACAGCTGGGCCTTGATTGTCTCTAGTATCAAGAGTGTCCTTTTTTAGAGGTGGGGGAGGGGGTGGCGGGGGGAGATTTTCTTCATATTGATTCTTTGATGACAGGTTATCAGGCTTTAGTGGTTTATCAAAATCATCATACTCATTGATAACAGTAGCGAGTTTTCCTAGCCAATGACAGAACAGAGGGGAAAAAACAAATTATTTTCTGGTAGAATTGCAAAGACATCACAAAATAAATAAAGCTGCAAGAACCAGAAACATATGCACCAATGATGCGAATCATAGATGAATGCAAAGCTGTCTATCTCAACATAGCACACAGAAAGACCCCCCCCCCCCCCCGAAAAAAAAAAAAAAAAAAAAACAGCTTTTCCGGGTTCAAAACTTAGGAATGTTGATCACATAGAGGTAAGGTTAAAAATTTTAACTTCATACATCCTCTTAAGAGGGGTATATTGTGTTGGAATATGAGAACTGAGGCAACCTCAGGGTAGTACTAGGTGTGCAAGTTGCATTATAAACAAGCAAATGACCATGTCTCAAAAGGAACTTAACTGGATGATTGCCAATGTTTGGTTTGTATGATACACACCATAGACATTCAACCTAGATCAATGCACACAATTTAAATTCCTTCCCAACTCTGGAATGTGAAATAGATTTTTAGATTAACGACTAGCAAAAAAAAATATATTGAATATTGAGGAATTGTATGCTTTTTATCCCATCACTAGTCTTTCTTGACCTTGCTACCCTTCCCCTCACCTTTAAATTCTTCCACTCTACTCACAATAACTATACACTGATACCTCCAACCTATATTAACAAAAATTTGCTCACTCGGCAATACACAAAGGCCGCATTATACCCCACAGTTCAGGAAATTGTATGTTTGAAGGGCTCTTACATCTTGACACACACACACACACAGACAGACACAGACACAGACACACACACACACACACACACACACACACCCTCTTCTCTCTTTGAAAGAGTTGTACCACACAGAAAATTGCAGGAAGCACACCACAGCAACCCGGAGTAGATACTGCCATGAGCGGGTCTAGCCACCTAGGTAGGTAGTCCAGTGCTTAAAATGTTAATCAGTCAAGACTAACATATTGCTGTTTGTGTCTTGTTAAACATTTTTATAACATAAGTAGTTAAACCATTGACACACATTGTACAGCAAAGACATTCTTCTAGTACATTGAGGGTTTGAGGCAAAGCTGCTCAACTTGATACCAAACAAGAGTAGGGCAAAGGATATGCATAGCCAGCAAGACTTCAAATGTGAGTTTGCAGCTTAGTCGGGTTAAGACAGTCTCGGGGAGATATGCAAGAGACTTTAACATATTCCACTCGTCACAAAACTAACTTCATTTTTCAAGAGGTAATAGTCACCTGTGGGGGGGAAAAAAAAATCCTACTGATAAAAACAAATGCATCATTATACCTTTGACTTCTTTCTCCTTCTTCTTTTTCTTGAGAACCTTTCCAGATGATCCTAAACGGAGATAAGACATAATTTTTGCAATACGGTCCAGCACAGAACCATCAACATTTACAGTGACCATTTCCTGCACAAGAAATTAACACATTCAGATGAAAATTTAAACTTAAATATGAGCTATACAAAGAAAGATTGCCAACCTCCGGGACTGGGCAGTCAGCTTTACTTCTATGCAACGTAGTTGGGATATCATGAGAATAAACATTTTCCTGCAATGCAATAAGTAGTAGTTTTGAGTACATCCAATTTACAAACTATCAGTCAACACAACACTAACCTACTTAAAAGAAATATTCACATACGAATCTGGATCCCTCAAAGTAAGTAAATTAAATCAAGCTTTCAAAGAACTCATTCAAGAATTACTCAATCTATTACTCAACACAAAGTGCTTTGTAATCAGCCCATAAGGATAAAGACAGGCAATATAGAGATTTTAGTCCTTTGTGGACTACTCGGGTAAAATGCAGACATTTTGGAAAAAAAAAACAGAAAACCAAAGCGTTACACTACAATCTGTAATAAAGATATACATTATAAGTATAAGAGAAGACAGATGCTTGCTTATTGAACGTTAAAATACTTATATAATAGCTATACAAGACATAAATGACTATATGATTTACAATGAGATCATAAAAAAATAAGGATTGGAGAGAATATTCAGATATTCAAAACATATATCTTTGGAGGATCATTTTCCAGGTATGAAGTAAATAAATCAGCCTAGTAAATCTATTAGGATAGAGAATCAGAACTCAGAAGATAACAGCAAAATAAAATAATTGAAAGTTCTTAATAAACTGAAATGGCAACACAAGACTTGTTTCAATTTCCATGTATCGAAGATTAATGACTGTTAAATATAGCACTCCTATAGTCCTATTACTGCCATACAAGCTTATATAACGTCACCTTGGTATCTAATAAAATTACAAATAACCCTTATCCAGTAACTTACCATGTCAAAAATAAATGACATTCGTCCAGGAAGAAACATCTCATTAGTTTTAACGACACTCTGAGGCTTGATCATCCATTGATACACAGACTGAAAGGGGTTTAAGATAATTAGCAATAATAAAGGGAAGTCACAAGCAAGCATGAAGCCATTTGTCACACTACAATCTGATAACAACATCTAGAGAGAAGAAATATCAAATAACCTTTGCGGTTGCTGTTCGGAATGATACAGGCTGGTCATCTTTAACTGGTCTGGAAAAGACAAAACATTCTTTCAGGGCAATACGGCAGCAATAAGATAAAACTAAGGGCATTCACCAAAAATTTAAAAGATAAAGCTATGATCAACATCAATCTTGGCAGTTTCCATACCGACCATTGTTATTCTAAGAACAGTCCAATAGTGAGACCATATTGAACTCTCCATACTCCCTCCATCCCACAAAAAACTTCTCATTTCTCTCTTATTGGCTTATTGCTTGTCCCACAAAAAACTTTATTTCTTCCTTAACTACATTCTTAAAGGATCAAGTCCAGTGTTGAGAGACAAATACAGAAATAGAACCCCGCCATTTGTA